TATTAATGTAATATCTAGTAAATATTCAAATTTCAATGGTTTGTCATTGTTTTTATGTAAGGGTTCATACAATCTTAAATGCGATTGATGAATTTTTAACGAGCATCAGATAGCTCCCAGTCGTGCGAAAACAGCGGAGCATCGTTAACGACTAATCGTTTATTACCCAGCGTCGTCGTGACAAATTTTTATTGTCCACCAGAATATATGCATAATATATATATATGTATAGTATAATCCATAAATAACGTATCGCCGTCCTCTGATTGTACGCGACCGAAGAACCACGGATTTATCTGTCTTACGTTATACGTTTCCAATGTATCGGCGTTACATATCAGGGTCTTGAACCGTGCGTGCGTCGCACGGGTGTATTGGTGTCAATGACTTCGGAGATTGTCAACGTCAGTGGAGGAGAAAAACTACAGCCAGATAACGAAAACCACGGCGTGGTCATTGTCTCTGGTCATTCTTCTGGGTCCTCTGTTTTAAATTTCCTCGATGATCGTAATACTTTATGGTATCATCGTGATTACTTTAATTAGATCTAGGTCATCGGCAGTGTTTCACACGCCACAACAAACAGGGTATGTATCATCGTGATTTATGATATTGAGTTACCAAAATGTAGGTCATTTCGTAGATGCCTCATTCCGATCATCGATCGAACATTTCAGTCTTTCTTCAGCTGAGAACATCTTTTTTATACTGACCACAGAAGGATAAGTCGAGAAATTCGAATTAGGATAATAGAACTTTTATACAATTTTCAAGTGAAAATATTACTTGGCTTTTTGTAATAAAAATTGTCTACAATTTATCAATCCAAATTCAACTTATTTTATTATATCTATTATAGATTCGGCAACTAAATAATCGCGAAGTTTGTTGATAGACTTCTTATTTAAAATCTGCAATCTCGTAGATGCCAACCCAATATAACTATTTTAATCTATTTATTGTGTTTATAAGAATTCTATTATCTTATAGAAATTGTGTAGAGTTTCTATCGTCTGAATCTATCCTTTGAGTTTACGAAGGTTCAAGAGTAATACGCAAGCTGGCTGAAGGTATCGGTACCGGTACCGGTACCGGTGATATAAATTACAACACTCAGAGACGTCTCGTTAGTACGATCCTCTTCAATATTCGTCAAGATGTAAAACGTCGTTGACACGATTATTATTAAACACTGATCCGTTGGTTATACGCTGGATGACCGCGGCTACGGTTTCTTAGGTCTGTTGAAGAGAAAAAAAGAACGATAGAAAGCAGGGCGATAAGGAACCGGGCGAGGGCATCCGGGACCTAGCGTGGTCAAAGGTTTCTGGAGAGATTTGTTTCGGTGTAACCTTCTGTGAATAAATCGGAGCTCGATAATCCTGAACGCGAATTATTCTACCCCTGACACTGACTGATTTTATAAACTCGAATCCTAAGCAGAAATGAATTCTTCTACAAGCAAAATTCCTATTACAGACATAATATGAAAATTGTTTCGTTTTATTAAAAAAACTTGTGAAAATCGAAATAAAATAATTTGTTTGATTTACGAAGGCATTTTGTTGATACGTTTTTCATAATTCATTGAGCTTAACCAACACTATTTATCGTTTCTTTATTGACCGATTTGAGAAATGGTGTTTCATGTAAGGTGACTGTCCCAATTTCTGTTCACGTGATAATTTCCACTCACTTAGGGGGGTAGACTCTGATAGGGGCATGATAAAACAGAATATTACCTACTAAATTGGCTAAAAATGAGAATTAAGACAATATTCTTATTACTCTGGTCACTACTCAATGAGATTAGGCTGATATTTAATAAAATAATTGTCGCAAAGTGAAGCAGGTACCGTAGCCACTTTGGGTTTTAAGCAATTTTATACCAAAGCGAGATTATTTTTAATAAAATAAGAACCATGGCACCGCGGAAGCAAAGATTAGAATTGAACTTTTTGACAAAACGATAAGTGTAATCCAGAAAATGAACCTGATTCTTTACACGATATTCATTATACTTCCGAAGTTCTAAGACTTAGCTATTTGGTTCATGGAATATTTCTACTCAACACAGAATTCTGTGTTCGATAATTAACGCGGTCGAAGCCGTGGCAGGGGATGCTAGTAATTAATAAAAAAAAAAGGGTGTTTTGCAAACGTGAGCAGACGCACATTGCTTAAATAGGTGCGTGGGTGTTGGTTGATAATAACTGCAACCTATTTTATTATCGTCGCTGATTCGTGCGAAATTAATAAGTGGCGAGCGACGGCGCCACATCGAGATACAAACCGAGCGTCACGTCTCATTTAATTATAAATTCAATTAGGTCGAAGTTGATTGACATGAGCATACGACTTATGCACCATCGCGATTCGATCTTAAGCGAGGGAGGGTTTCGATCTCCTATTCTGCTATATCGGATAGCATCGATTGTTCACTGCAGTTACCTCACGTGACTAAATTCTATTCGATATGTATGATTTATATGACATTTATTTTCCGTAATACATTTGTCTGAATAGTTCTCAGGTTTTACTACGAAGCGTAAAGTAATTGTTCTTCTCTGTGACTGCTACTACAATGACAGAACGAGGGGTGTTCTGCCAGTGGTTCAAATTTTCTACTCATTATGTAATTTGTACGCACGATTCGTTGTATTTACAGTCGGGGATCGAGATTAATAATCTCCGATCCGATTTAAGATCTCAAAAGTTTAAAAAACGTGGTAAGAATTTAGGCTCAATATTTGAAGCGATAAACTTTTAGGGAAAACGATATATTTAGAGGTATGTATTAAATTTCAATTCTTAATTCGTGAATACTCCGATCGTCAATTGTTTACAAGTTTTAGTACATGAATTATGAGGTTTGCAGCCCTATCGTCGATTGTATAAGGATGGAACTGAAGGTACCGGTATCTCACCTAGCACGATGGGATCCATCGAGGAAGGCAGTCTCGCAGCCGTCGGCTACATGCAACGCGAAGTTCAACAACGCACACTTCCCCGTCCGACTCTTATCAATATCGTTTCGTCGATTTACGAACTTCGAAAAAGTCTAGCAAAGTTTCTATCGACTGCACCGGGATCACCATTCACGATCTCTGGTTCCCTCGACCAGCGGCACCCCTTCGGTTTTACATTTTCCAATCCGTGTCCAGGCGCTCGCGGGTTCCATTCGTCTCGGCGGAATTTTCAACGCGCGACTCTTCAAGGTAGGAATACGATGGTGCAAAGTTCACCGAAGACACTTCACTGATGCAACACGCAGTAAATCGGCGCAACAGTGGTTCATTCACGCGGCGATCGAGCCGAACAAGAATAAGTAGACGTTGAACATTATTTGAACAGAAGATCGAGGTGGTAGCGAGAAGCGTGAAGCGAACGGTTCCACGCTGCCGCCGTTCATTCACGCATTAAGTAGACGACACTGATCCCGCGTTTCACGTGGGTCGCGGGAAAAACCGCGACAATTTAACGCAACAGTAAATAATCTGTTGCAGCGTAGCGTTTCACCGTGTCCGTACGCGTTCGTCCTTAGGACGATAGAACGAGAAGAAGCAGCATGCTCGGGGTACCAGAGTAAAACAGAGAAAGAGAGAGAGAGAGAGAGAGAGAGAGAGAGAGAATAAAACGCCGGCTAGACGAGACGAAAAAAGAAGCACGGACACGGTCAATGGTGCGCGGCTCGCCCTTCGCTGCCTCACTGACTGGGGCGACAGATTTACCAGAGCAGAAATAAGAAATCTCCTCTCTGGCTAGTAGCGTAGTCTTTAGAACGCGGCCCCCGCCTGGTCCCTGTGTTACTCGCGCTTTACCGATCTATAAGTGTGTGGCTACACAAACGAATTAGCATAAGAGAGTGGAAGCGAGTGCGCCCACTCGTTTTGGACGTCGCGCGATTACAGGAGCAAGAGGGGGACCGTCGTCGGTGCGCGACGGAGTATCGTTCGAAAGAAACCGATGCGACGGGATGAGAGGAGATCGGAGAAGGACGGAGAACGAGCTGCGCGACGAGGAAGCTCGAGGGGGGAAAAAGCACGGGAGAGCTGCAAGTGGTCGATCGACCAATCGGTGCCCGGTCACGGCAAAGATACGCGCGCGCTTGGTCACGTACGTGCGAGAACGGGTTGACGCAGCTCCGGGCGTGTGTGCGTGGGTGTACAGACGAGTGCGCACGCTCGACGAAGCGCGGCCGTGCAGCATCGCCGTTGAAACGACGGAGCGAGGGAAAATTGGCCACGCTTAAGAGGCGGAGTCACATTCGCACGGACCATTGGCGAGTGCAGTGCACCGTAATCCAACGCGGTTTACGCCTCTTCATTGTGCACTCGTGCCGAACGTTTCCTCCGGTTTATCGCTTCTCTTTGCCTTGCTACTCGCCTCGAATGCACGACCCCTGCTAATTACGTGGACGTATATATTACCTTTGACAGACCTGACTCGCCAACGAGATTTGTTATGTGAGAAAACCGATATTACTTCTTTAACGGTCTTTAAATAACAGTCTTGAAATTATGGCTTGCCGTAAATACTTGCCACGCAATTATTCCACGGGAACGAACATTCCTTTTTCCCCTCTTGCAAAATTTCGTTAAACGACCGGTCTCTTTTATTATGTCTCATTTTTTTTAGGAGATTTTTATAAGAAAATATTTGAGACTTTGAAATCCGAAATTCGGAACCGATGCTGATGATAACGAGCGGCTGATTCTTCTGCAAGAAATGCAGTTCTCCTTTGAGCATTACTGCGACATCTGTTGGTACATTAAGAAACCATACAAGTTTGTAAACAAGTTGAGAGACACTGCACCACGATTTTACACTGGACGACGTCATATAACCCATTTACGGGGTGTCCGCGTTTTTTGGCGGGCAAATTACAACCTGTACTTATACAGATGTATACTGTTCGAATCTGTCAGTCTCTGAATAAATAGTAATAATTTTTTACTGTCGATCTTGTTCATTACTTCCTATTAATGCGTAGAAGATAGTATACTCGTATATCGAAATGGCAAACTTACAAAACACGGGAAGATTTCGACCCTTTAGAAGGAACAATCAAAACGAAGAAGGAAATCCAACAGGGTACTTATTTTAATTGAAAATGCGTTACATATTATATCCGCTTACTTACTTCATTCTTTTATATCTAGCGAGACTTCGGGAGGAAGATTAAAAGTGGTGAATGAAAATATAAGATTAGATGCTTTGTATGGATTTCACAGAGTGAACGATGTGAAAGAAAGAACAGGTTTTCTTATCAATATGCACGCAGTAAGTATTAAGACAGATACAGAAGTATCTTATTTTATTATTAGACTAACGATCTATCTCCTTATAGACAGAAATTATGGAAGAGAATAAAAGATTACAGAGCGGTGTGGATTATTACTTTTTAGAACAAGACTGTAGTCGATTTAAAATCTCTTATCCCTACTGCCCATACTTTTATATTCTATGTAAGAAGAACACATACGAAGAAGTCTCCACAGGCTTATTTAAAAAATATGTTGACATCATACATAAAGTGGAAACACTTTACAAAGAAGATCTAGATTTGGTACATTGACCGTTTAAGAGAATAAGAAGTTTTCATTTAGGATAGTAACTACCTTTCTGTCTTTCAGCCAAATCATCTGATTGGTTTAAAACAGAAATATTTAAAAATCTCTTTCTTAAACACCGTGGACTTGAACAAAGTCAGACGTGATATTCTTAAAGCTGTAAAGGTGAACAAGGAGAGAGAAAAGAATCATACTTTTTATACAGACCTACTGTCGAGTGCACTGAATCCGAATCAGGAAGCAGAAGGTCAAGAAAGTCATAAGAAAACAGTGGATTTTACAGACAATATTCTTGATATCAGGTAGAAATTCAGTACACCTAAGATTCTTGCTGGGCGTAATGAGAAATGGATGGAATGAAATGATGCACATTTATTTTTACAGAGAACACGATGTACCTCATCACGTAAGGGCCTCTATAGACTTGAAAATTTGTTGTGCTAACTGGTATACCGTTAGAACAAGGGGACATGAGATACCAATTATTACAAAGAGGGAAGACATCGTTGAACCACCCGATCCAATTGTATTAGCATATGATATTGAAACTACGAAACTTCCTTTGAAATTCCCCGACGCTGATACCGATCAAATTATGATGATATCATACATGATCGATGGACAGGTATTATTTTGGAATATTTTATTTAGCACTCGGTCCATCTTAATGACTCGCATTTTCAGGGATATTTAATAACGAATCGAGAAATTATCTCTTGCGACGTAGAGGATTTCCAGTATACGCCAAAACCCGAATTCGAGGGACACTTCACTGTCTTTAACGAACCGAATGAAAAAGCGACGATAAAAAGATTTTTCGATCACATAAACGATGTTCGACCGCACATATTTGTAACGTACAACGGCGACTTTTTCGATTGGCCGTTCGTAGAAACCAGAGCAGCTTCCTACGACATGGACATGAAAGATAGAATAGGATTCTCCAAGAATCGAGATGGAGTTTATACTAGTAGACCAGCTATGCACATGGATTGTTTATGGTATTATCGTTCATACAACTCGTCATCAATACATTGAAAGCATAGAATTATTTTAAATCCTCTTCTTGTTACAGTTGGGTAAGACGAGATTCTTACCTACCAGTAGGCTCACAAAATTTGAAAGCTGTCGCAAAAGCAAAACTTAGATACGACCCTGTAGAATTGGATCCCGAAGACATGTGCAGACTGGCATCCGAAGATCCACTAATCCTAGCGAACTATTCGGTTTCAGATGCGATTGCTACGTATTATCTCTATTATAAATATGTTCACCCTTTCATATTCGCGTTGTGTACTATTATTCCTATGGAGCCAGATGAGGTAATACATGAAATGAAGAATCATAAGATGAACGATGAAAATTTTCAATTACTTATAGGTACTCAGGAAAGGATCTGGCACGTTGTGTGAATCTTTGTTAATGGTCCAAGCATTTCAAGCTAACATTATATTCCCTAATAAGCAAGAACAAGAATTGAATAAGCTCACGAGAGATGGTCACGTGCTGGATCAAGAGACATACGTAGGAGGACACGTGGAAGCCTTAGAATCAGGAGTTTTTCGAGCTGATATTCCTTGTCGCTTCAAAATAGTGCCGAGCATGGTCGATGATTTGATAAATGGCGTGGAGCAAGCCCTGAAACATGCTATACAAGAAGAGGAAAAGGTGCCGATCGAAATGGTTACGAACTTTGGCGAAGTTGTCGATGAAATTACATCGAAATTAAAACCGTTGAGAGATCAACCATTGAGATTAGAGAATCCTGTGATTTATCATTTAGACGTCGGCGCTATGTACCCAAATATTATACTGACTAATCGGCTTCAGCCATCTGCGATGGTCAATGAAACTGTTTGCGCTGCTTGCGATTACAATAAGCCAGGGGCGCTTTGCCAAAGAAACATGAAGTGGATGTGGAGAGGAGAATATTGTAAGATGATATACACTCCCACTCGAAAGTTTGGAACCAGCAAATAAAATATATTGTAAGTGTTTAAAGAAAAAACAGCTTTTCTATTTGTTTTCAGTTCCTGCAAGTTTGAGCGAATATCAGCGGATACAGCAACAGCTCGAGAATGAAAAATTCCCATCGTTGTTTCCTGACGGTAATCGGCGAGCGTATCACGAACTATCTGCGGAGGAGCAAGCAACTTACGAGAAGAAACGACTCACGGAGTACTGTAGAAAGGCGTACAAGAAAGTAAAGATTACCAGCATGGAAGAAAGAACGCAAACGATTTGCCAAAAGGAGAATTCATTCTACGTCGACACAGTGAGAGCGTTCCGAGATAGGAGATATGAATACAAAGCGCTTACTAAAGTCGCGAAACAGCAAGTAGCGGCAGCTGTGGCAAAGGGAGACGCAGGTGACATCAAGTCCGCAAAGAATCGCGAAGTACTATACGATTCTTTACAACTTGCACACAAGTGTATCTTAAATTCCTTCTACGGCTACGTTATGAGAAGAGGGTACGTTTCTTATTTTACTTGTGCGGGTACCACCAACCCAAATTTTCGGACATCCGTAAATAAATATTTTTTACATTTTGAAGAGTGTTAACACGATATTTCACACAGATCCCGATGGTTCAGTATGGAGATGGGTGGCATAGTGTGTTACACGGGCGCTCACATTATTATGAGAGCCAGAGAAATTATAGAACAGGTCGGCCGACCTTTAGAATTGGACACCGATGGAATTTGGTGTGTCCTACCCGCCTCTTTCCCAGATAACGTCGTCATCAACACCACTCATCCAAAGAAGAAAAGACTCGTAATATCATATCCGAACGCTATTCTCAATTTTATGGTGAAGGATCAATTTACCAACGACGTGTATCACGAGCTCGTCGATTCAGAAAATTTGACATATAAAATTAGAAATGAAAACTCGATATTCTTTGAAGTCGATGGCCCATATTTAGCTATGGTACTACCTGCGGCAAAAGAAGAAGGGAAAAGGCTGAAGAAACGATACGCAGTGTTCAATTTCGACGGTTCTTTGGCTGAATTAAAAGGTTTCGAAGTTAAACGAAGAGGTGAACTGCAGCTAATAAAAGTGTTTCAAACATCCGTGTTTGAATCATTCTTGAAGGGCAGTACGTTGCAAGAATGCTATGCGTCCGTAGCTAGAGACGCTGACTACTGGCTCGATATTCTTTATAACAAATGTACGGAAATGCCAGACTCAGAGTTGTTCGAACTTATATGTGAAAATAAATCGATGTCGCGGAAACTGGAGGAGTACGGAAGTCAAAAGTCTACTTCTATCTCCACTGCCAAAAGATTAGCCGAGTTCTTAGGCGATCAAATGGTAAAAGACGCTGGATTGTCGTGCAAATATGTGATCGCTAATAAGCCTAAAGATGCACCGGTTACAGAACGAGCAATACCGCTAGCCATATTTCAAGCGGAACCAACAATAAGAAGGCACTATCTACGCAAATGGTTAAAGGATCCTAGCTTACAAACCGACGATATACGCAGTATTTTGGATTGGAATTATTACATTGAAAGACTTGGGAATGCTATTCAAAAGATCATTACAATTCCAGCAGCAATGCAAGGAATTTCAAATCCAGTGCCCAGAGTAAAACATCCAGATTGGTTACACAAAAGAGTCCTTGAAAAGAGCGCAACACAAAAGCAGATGAAGATTGTAGACATGTTCTCCGTCGTCCCTAGAGAAAACAAGGACGATAATATTCAAAATTCACATGAACCATGTGATATAGAAGATGCAGTGGAAGGAACTTCTACGTTTAAGCAACCTTTACCAGTGGTAAATAAGAGGAAAAGAAGCAACGATGAAGATGATGATAGAAACATAAATAAAAGTTGGAGAGAAGTTCTGGGTTCGCCGCCACCGAGAGGCACTACTAAGGAAGAAAGATTGAAATGGTTGGAGTTTCACAAGCAGAAATGGGCTTATCAAGCTAAGCAAAGGGAAGAATGTCGGAACAGCAAAAAGAGTAGATTATCTAAGAAAAGTGACGAACAAATTAATTTAGGCGTAACGAGAAATACAAACACATCCACTTTAAATGGTTTCTTAAGACGAGCTCAGAAAAAATTACTTACAACCCCGTGGCAAATTATTCAAATATCAGCAACGAACGAGCCCGGGTTGTATAGATTGTGGGTATTAGTAGATACGGAATTCCATCAATTGCGACTCGCCATACCTCGTATATTTTATGTGAACACTCGTAAAGTGAAAGCCGATCCAGAGCCGGGTAAAAAAGTAACTTGGAAGAAGAGTTTGAAAGTTCTTCCGCGATCTCGGCCTGTGTACAATTTGTACCAATACTCCGTGCCAGAAGCACAGTATCAGATATATAGTCAAGAGCTACTAGAAGATTTGAGTAAGCCGGAGATTGAAGGAATTTATGAAACACAAATGTCGTTGGAGTTCAGAGCTATTTTGCAGTTGGGATGCATTTGCACAGTCGACCCTAAGGCTGCGCGAACCATGACGGATGGTGCCGACACGTTTAATTTAGATCAATTGGAGTTCAAAAGTATCGGGGTGCAACCGTACCTTCAGAACCTTGAGAAGATCAATCATATTTTCTTATACCATCATTGGAGTGCGAATCGTCAAAGAGCTATGTGGGGACTGTTTCTGAACGCGAGCAAAAAAGCTCACATATTCGTTTACGACTCGGTTTCATCGAATCAAATGCCAAATATGAACACGCTGTATTCCCAGGAACGGGAAACAGCTTTGTCTATGAATGGAGAAGACAAAGTGAAATCCTTGCCGGAATCGATGCAATTCGTATTGAAATTCGAAACGAACTTCCAACAACTTTGTCGCGTATTACAAGCAGCCTTAACTGTGTATAAAAATGAAGGACACGGTCCAACGATTTGTATTGTGCAGACAGCAGTACCTAAGTCAACGTTAACAACACAAATGCCTCTACTTAATGATTTTCCCATGGTTCACACCCACGTGCAAGATATCGAGAATTTGTATGCCACGTTAGAATGGCAAAAAGTAGGCGCAAAAATGATGATACGGCATTATTTTAAAAGTCAACAAATTTTAGAATTGATGGCAGAACAATGTAGATTCTTTCATGCGCCGATCGGCAATATTCCATCGGATCCTACCATTTTCGGTGCTGATTTATTTTATGCCAGGCATTTGCAGAAAGCTAACTTTGTCTTATGGTGTTCGCCGACAGAGAAACCAGACCTAGGAGGCAGCGAAGATGATGATAACAGGTTGCGTTTAAATTTGAGCATTCAAATTAATATTCGGGCACATTCAAAAACTGAATTTATTTTGAAGCGTGTCTGAACATTAATAAGAATCACTGTACTATTATTTTAATAAAACTGATTGCAGACTGCTGACGGATTTTGAAGAAAGTGCACATTGCGCTGCAAATAACTCCGGCACTTACTCCAGCGTCTGCATCGAGTTGGAGATAGAAAGTTTAGCTGTAAATACCTTACTGCAATATCATCATATTCACGATATCGATGGTACCAGTAGTTTCGTTACATTTCATAATCAACAAGCAGCATCCGTTCAAGTACGTAAGTCTTGTTTAAATTGTATCAAACGAATGTATAAGAAAATAATATGATTCATATTTTCGTAGGAATTGGCTATGGGTAAATCGTTAACCGGGTCGGTTTCGAGTTACGACGAGACTACACTGTGTAGTCCTGCTTTCAGGGCATTACGAAGTATGGTCAATCAATGGTTGTTGGATGTTTCGGTTTACAAAAACGTATTTGCCGATTACCAAATCGTTCACTTTTATAGGTAAACCTGAATAGCGCATCGCGGTCTACATATATTACATTTGTTCATTCGAATTTTGTAGATGGCTGCGTTCGCCCAATGCTCTGCTGTATGATCCTGCTTTACGAAGAACGCTACATACTTACATGAAAAAATTGTTTATACAGTTGTTAGCAGAATTTAAAAGTTTAGGATCGATAATTGTATTTGCCGATTTTAATAAAATCATTGTGTGCACGAAGAAACGATCTGTCTGCGATGCACTGAGCTACGTAGAGTTCGTCGTTCAGACGATACGCAATAAAGAGCTTTTTCACAGTATTGAGATAACGTACGAACAGTGCTGGGAATATTTAACATGGCTCGATATGGTAAGTAAAAGTTTTTCGTTGCGTACGTAATCATATCTTATGATCCATTGAATTATATCGTATGAAAATCGACAGCATAATTTCGGCGGTGTGAAAGGGAAGCTGCCAAAAAATATGGAAGAAAATAGTCAGAATAAGGACACGAATGATGAAGAGACCGAGAATGAGGATGATGATGCTGTAAGTATTTCTAAGATATCTTTTAATTATTTTTTATGTATGTTTTAATCAAATTTTTCGTCTGATAAGCCTGAAATAATTATGAATTGGAATCTGATGGAATGTCTCCCCAAAGAGGCTACATGTCGCTCAAGCTTTAACGCCGTAGTAGCTGGATATATCAATGCCATTTATCAATTTATGATTAAAAACGAATTGAATTCTACTATAAGGGGAAGAAGGCCAGACAGTATGAGTCAAAGTATTACAGATCAACTTGGACTGGGATGTATACAAAGTACCGCGGGTTTTGCTAAGAAATTCATAGAAGAAGATATGTCTCAGGAACTTTTTCGGTACATATCGTTTCTTCGTTTTGTTATTCTCACAAACCTTCGCAGTCTAGATATTTCACATCATAATTAATTGTCCGTTATAGAATTGTACAAAAAGTACACTATAATCTTCCACACAAAATGTTAACAATTGAAGAATACCCGAATTTGGATTTCGATGGTGAAGATAGTAAGAAGATTAATCCAGCTTTGGAGTTAATCAAATCGGTTTGCAAGGTAACGGCATATCAAACGTATGTTGCGAAATAAATTATATTATACATAAACGTATAATTTTACTTTCAGGTCTTATCTTTGGATAAGGAAATTGAGAATGAAGTGTACAAATTACAAAACAATATGTTAAGACTGATCGGTATCGGGAATTTTAGCGATTCAGTTGAATGGCACGATCCATGTATTTCCGTAATTTTGCCTGAAATTATTTGTAAGGCATGTAATCATACAAGAGACATTGATCTTTGCAAAGATAATTACTGTATCATGGAAGAGGATAGGTGAGTAACATGAGAAAAGTGATACGCGACCTGCTATGCACAGTGGCCCTCATTAATATTCGGACATATTTCAAAATCTGTCATCTAACAATTATATCGTTTAAAAATGTATTCGATTATTAATAAGGGCAACTGTACGTGACACTCGATTTTACAGGTACATATGGAAATGTCCTCTTTGTAAAATGAGTTACGACAACGAGGAAATCGAGTTCCTGTTAATTGATATATTCAACCGTAAAAGTATGGACTACGTATTGCAAGATTTACAATGTCGTAAATGCAAAGAAGTTAAAAGGGACAATATGAACGATATTTGTTCATGTTCTGGCGAGTTCAAAACTCTGGTTCCTAAGAAAGAAGTATTGAAATTTTTTAAGATATGTAAAACTGTCGCCAGGAAATGCAACATGGAGACATTAATGGATATGGTTGAGAATACAAAATCTCTCGTAAATTTCATGTGATTTTATACAGATAATTTCAAGCTTTTTATATTTTTACTCTGATAGCTTCTTAACTTAAACACCTGTATTATATATATTTATATTAAGGGAAATAAAATTTAATGGATTTACATTTCTAATTTTACATGTACATATATTCTTTACAACTGTTTAGCATTAAGTGTAACAATTTTAAATTCTAATGTTATATTTGGATACACTTACGATAATATGTCTATTTTTCCACTTCTGGATCTGAAATAAAAGATTTAGAATGCTTATGATATTAAGATTCTTTATAATTTATAATATGTGAATCTTCATACAAAATCAAACATTTATAGTCAATCGTTTCATAACTGCATAAAATTCGCAGTCTAATATAAAAATTAAGCTCACCTTTGAACTGGAATTTCGGGAACTCCGTTGCATCACCTTTTAAGGCAAACTGTTTCGCAACTCTGTCAAGTTCTGATTGCTTTTCTCTTAGAATTTCAGGAGTGGCATCGACTAATTTTCCACCACTGAATACACGAGTAATTATTAGAATATTTATACCATTGCATTCTCGATGAAATACTTGTTCTTACCTGCTTTTTGATTTGTATTCACGAATTTTATCTATGAACAGTTGTTGTATGGGATCCTTTGCTTCTTGGAATGCAGGTGCAAGGATGCCAATATTACGTTTAACAACTTTTTGTGCACTTGCAACCACCCGTTGGGTAAGCATTTTTACTTAAACAATCGAATAATATGTATAAATAAAAATGACTGTTAGACAGTCAAGCAGGGTGATTGACAACCAAAGTTTTGAACGATAGACGAATATGAAACTGATCGTAAAGATTCTGTCAATTGACAGTCTGTATTAAATCGAACATTCAAAACTTAAAATATGTGAAAACTTACCCACGATTTCTCTTACGTAATTAAATACTATGTAATACGAGCAGGTTATGCTTATTGAATGAAACACAGTGTCGAAAATAAGCAATTATATAGCTGCATTAAAACGCAGCAAAGAATGAAAATTCGTGTTAAAGAATTTATATAATTTAAGATAATATATACTTACTTTTGTATTTAAGTAACACTTCAAAGACACTCGTCGATATTCTTTACCTTAGAATATAACACTCAACCATAGAGCATGCACTTAACAAGAACAGTTTCAACGCAAGATCGATAGTAGAGAGCATTACAATTTGCAATGAATTTTTCGTTCGAACGATATTCGTTGTTATATTTTATAACTACAATTGTTTTAAAAAAATGAAATACTGGGATACCTACTGGGATTGTAAATCATCTATTTCATTCGTACACGATCTTCTCTGGTGATTCTGTAACTCGGAAAACGGGACTTGAATGTAGCCGCAAGTTCAAAATGGCCGCCTGCATGAGACGTTCCTGCGCATGCCTAGACGGCAACGGCATTTCTCTCCATGCGCAGGAGCTTCTCATACAGACCGCCATGTCGAGTGTGCAGTTTCATTCACATCCCGTTTTCTGAGTTATAGAATATCCACAGTATTCCACAGGCCTGTCTAGATCGTGGTAGCGTTGATCCAACGGAAACAGGAGGACGCGACGGCGAATCATGGCAGGGAATGTGTACGCCCACTAGCTATTGGCCAAAGGCTCTCTGGCCGCGGGGAGGGAGGTGAGTGTATCCCGCTCTCAGTTTCATTCATGAACGTCTGAGCCGCAGCCATAATATATTTGTAATCTGTATTGTGTACGGGTTGTACCGCGTTAGTGCTGCCGATGTGCGTGCGCCTCACAGTCGTACACGTGATTCTCGTTTTATGTTCGGTTCGCCGTTGGTGTTTTCTGTGTACATTACTTGGACCATTTACTCTGTCGCAGTCTTCATTGGATATTAACTTGTGAAACAGGTAAGTAGATACGTTAAAATCTCTCCACCTGCGCGCTTCCCGGCTCTTACGGGCGCGCAAACGTGAATCTTCGAAACTTTCGAACTCTTGTTAAATCGTCACCACGCTTTTGTCACCGGGCAAACTGCGTTGCAAATCGTGATACTAAGAAATTGCGAGCTTATTACGAAACGATAGAAAAGCATACGCCTACGTTCAGGCAGGCCTATATTTGTTTTGACCAAGCGATTTCTTGGTTACTTTACATCCCACGAGCAATTGGAAAATGAATATAACACATAGTTCAAGATGTTGTGCGTGGGCGTGTTACAAATCGTCCAACGAGATCAGTTTTATTCGTGTATTTACATCTACTATTAGAGGTACATGAGAGTAAGTTAATCAGAGATTCGAATCTGACCTTCGTATTTATTCTATGCATGCAAACTTTTTCGTCGTCCTTCAGCTGTGCATCGTAATCCTTCAGCTGTGTCATTAAGAGCTTTACATACGTATTTTACGTGCTCGTCCCATACGTGCTCGTATGGGAACTCATATTCTCCCGTACGTTACATCGTTAATTATTATTCATATCTTTATTTGACTTAAAATACTATATATCTTCGAAGAAAATTGATTACGCGATAGAGAGAACGACCCTATTGTGCTTAATCAGAGCTCGAATACGTTCGATTACATATAATGTTTCGAATGAAGTACGCTCACGACAAAATTCGAGATACGACGTTTACGACAACGTTTCGCAGATTAGGTCTCACATCGATTAGTATCGATCGCAAATATCATGTACCTGATAATCGTATCGTGCCTTGCGTAATACACAGAATTTCACTGTTATCATTTCGATTAAATGTACACTCGAGAATATTTGTAGTTCTCATCTTTTTTTACTATCACAAGTGTTTAGTGATTTAGTGAAATTGGTGTGGTGTTCGATCGAAGATGTATAAATGGATCTACTACGGTAATGGTACGTTGTATGTAGAATATATACTATACAATGAAGCCTATTGGCTTGTTCAAAATTATGACTTGTTTAACGACCGAATACGTCTCGTGACGTTCAGATAACGTTTTCATTTCTCGTTACAACTTTTACGACTAACAGACAACGTAGGACGATGAGTTTTATTCACCTAAAGAGGTTCTTCACCATTTTTATTTGTATGTACTCTTTTTTTTTACAATGATTCGAGTAAATGCATTGCATTATTACATATGCATCATGCAATGATACTATCGGTTATAATAGTGTGGAAAAAAGGCATAGAAGATTTGGAGTAGTCCTTTGGTTCACGATGTTTGCTAATTTTCTGAGAAGACAGAGCAGGTATGTAATTGTGTTAGTTCAATTCTAAATGACTATCAATTCGACATTTGTAAATTCTACTCTCTTGATTGGAACTTTGATATTTATATTTTATTAGTTCTTGAATTCGTTCATGCGATTGTATTTCGAATCTATCTAAAAAATACTGACCTCGATACAACGTTATTGAACCACATTTCAACATATGTATTTCTCTCAACATTTAAAACTCTGCCAAAACAGATGCGGTCGGGTCTGGATCAATTTTTTACACGATGTCTGTGTAACATATTTTGCCTGTACGGCTTGTAGATAATATTTCCGTGAAGCAGTATTTGGTATACAAAGACGAGAATGAGAGAGTGAGATGGCGAAGTTGCGGTGAGGCTGGTAAAGGTGCGAGCGAGAGAAATAGTCCGCGCTGGATGGGTGTAAGTTAAACGCATACGCGAGGGGGATGGCTAGCTTGGCAATTTAAAAAAGGAACGCGTTGCCTTCGGTGTTGGTGGGTCGAATGGTTTTTGTACACTTTCTCGGATCTCGGGGAGTACAGCCTGGCAACGCCGCGATCTACCCATTCACTTCTTCAATCGTTTGTCTCTTGGCTGTTTCTTGTTTCTTCTCTCTGCCAAAGACGTGACAAATATCAAAGGCCAGAAGACACCAGGCCGTGACAAAGCTCACCGCGAACGTACTGACATTGCGCGAAGGACAGAATGAAAGTGCAATCGCGTGTATGTTCGAGAGAGAGAGAGAGAGAGAGAGCAGATGCAACCCGTTGATCGATTTAGATCAGAGTTTGCAACACGATTTCTGCTTCTCGAAATATGTTATTCGTGGTAAAAGCAGCTAAGGAAAAGCAGAATTCTTTCTGTGAAGTCATTCCTTTTAACATTGGACACAGATTTATTAATATCTTCGGATCTTGTTCTCTTAGAAGAATCTAAGACACTCGACAACACGTCAAGAATCATTGTCTCAAGCTGTACGCTGCTATTATCAAAAATGCAAGTTTTTTCTTTGTTCATATTGATAAGGAGGGAGTGATTTGTCTCGCGAGTATTTCGTATAGTTCGGGGGACGATTTTTTCGTCGGAAAAAAATATTACTTTGGTTTTAATAAGCTCGAGACTGGAACGTAACGAGATTTTTCCACATATGGGTGTGTCATGGGTTTTGAAACCCTCGCATACGGGTCGGTGCATCCCGTGAACTGGTAGAACGTCTGCCCGCATCTGGAAACCAAGCAACACCTCCTCCTCGAAAGATATTATATTGCTTTCTCGACCGAGTTGAAACAATAGACACTTCAATATCTCTTAAGGGCAGAACACTGTTCTATACGGTGTCCATGAAAATCGCGGTCTGAAATTCCGTCTAGGTGTAAGCAAGCATTCTTTTTATTTCCCGTTTGCGTTAGGAAATCATTAGCAACCCGGCAATTTTCCTCTAAAGAAAAATAGGCTTCGTTACTCGATGTACGCGTTAACTCGTCTTCCTTGGTTAACAAGTCGAGGGAAAAAAGACTTGAACAGAGTGCAAACACGGTAATAACCATCGTGTAGCGATCATTGTCTTTTTTCCGTTTGTTTCTCCCCTCGCTTTGGTTTCATTTCATGGACAGGAAAATGCGTAAGTTCTCAAGGTGGTTCTAACTCAGTAACTTCGGCGTTACGTGTATGCATGAAACATTAACGCAACTGTTTAAGATAACTGTTTCCTGAATCAGAAATATTGCAAATTGTTTAAAATCTTTTACAAAATTAATATAAGTACCAAACCCCTGTAATTGTTGTTTTCAAGTCTTTGTTAATATAGCAGGGCAACAATTAGCTTAAGATTCTTGGTAATGTCTCGGTTTCCCGAAAACTTTCATTCGAAAAATCTAAAATGATAGACTGGTTTTCTCTTTTCTTTTGTTTTATAATGGGCAGAGAATTCGAAATTGCTAGGGTAGTGATTGTAGGGTAGGGTAGAGTAGGGTAGTGCTTAGCTAATGACCACCGATTCTTTCGTTGTATGGAGTGAAATAAACCGATGATGTTACGACGTCATCCGTACCTCTCGAGTGATCTTTCCCCGCTCAGGAAACGCAGGTAAACGCATCCGAGTGGAAACGGCATCCTTGTGTTTGCACGGAAGCCGGTCGGGCACTTTAAAACCCCAAACCGATCGTATTTTATTACCCAACCATTGAAGATGTTCAGGTGTATAATTGGCAATAGAAAAGCAATTATTACTATTACTTTATTGAGGAGCTTAAGCCCTTTTGAGAATACAAAGGAGAACGGAGAAGTGTTCAAATATACAAATATTTTTATCATCGATAAAATAATGCTGAGTTAATCGCGATTTCACTTTCACCGAATTTCGGAGTTCGGAGTTCGGTCGTTCCATTGTTCATCGCAGGTGGCACGATTGCTTGAAATGATAATTAAACGAATTAAACGAATTCGTGTAAATTATATCGTCCGTCGCGTCAAATCGATACTATCTTTAGATAAGAATCCGCTCTCAACCGGATTGAATGAATGGCAATCAACCGTTAGTTAATACACAGAATTACGTGGCATAAAAATTTTGTTGACCGTCTCGAGGGGAATCTTCGGATAAATTCCCGCAACAGATATCATCGCACAGATAATCTGCCCTGGTATATTCCGATTCTCACGATCGTTTTCTGAAATATGTTTTCGTGATACCTGGACTCGATCTTGGTCGGACGGGATTCGCTCTTTCTGGAAACTGAAAAGTTATTGACACGTTGCATCGCGGAGAGGGTTAAAAAAAGCCGAATCTCGATTGCGCTTTGTAACGTGCGTGTACCAGCCGCGTTTCGGTGCTGTATACAAAGAGCCGTGAGAGTCGATGGCGGTGCCCGAGCACTTTTCCACCTACCATCTGTCGTTCGGGCTTCCAGCCGGAGTAACCTGATCTTTGTAGAAACCAGAGTTCGAAAACCTCCTACGTATATGCCC